CAAAGTCCGCTCCTGTCTTTAAGAATAAACGTCACGTTTTAGACTATACTTTTAAGTAGAAATTTTACCTACAATCAAGTACATTTCTATATAACTAAAACTGTAGCATTAGCCAGCTACATCAGATGTCGTTAATTTATTTATTTATTTATATACAAGAAGGTACATTGGGTTTGAGAGAATACATAGCATAGTATTAACAATCTTGTAAAGTCACTAGTATGCGCAGCGTTTCGGGCAAGTCCTTAATCTAACAGATAATTTTAAGTAGGTAACTTCTAGCAGAATTAGTAAAATAACAGGTACATTGCAAGAAAAAAATGAGACGAGAGAGATTAGCAAGTATATTAAAGCACATTGGTATATTAAAGCTCCGATTGATTACATTGACAGCTTGATTAATAATTTAAACAAGATTAATAGACACCATACAGCAGAATAAGTTAATAACTGACCAGCCCCTCGCACTCCCCCCCCCAACCCGCGCCACCTTACCTCGCACCCCCGCGTCACCTGTTCCGACCCCTGCCAGACGCCGCAGTTGTTGTTATAGATTCAGCTACTCTGAACAAGTTCCAAGTAGCACGGTCCCGATGAGCCCGTAGTGGACATACCTGGCACAGGAGCGGTGCTGACGAGTCTACCCCATCGTAATATCTTACCCGCCCCTGCCCCTACCCCCGCTCTACCCATTTCAACCTTACCCCTATCTTTCGTATTTCCATACAGCTATTTATATTTTAGACACCGTAATGTTAGTTCCTTTACATTAAACGAGATCAGTTTTACATAATGCATCCGAGACATCTCAATATGATTTTCAACACGTAACCCATTACGTTACCCCGAGGCTACCTAAGACGCCTCTTCTTCTTCTTGAGAATAGGTGCAGTTTGCATGAAGGGTTAACCCTCCCGATGACTGCACCAGGACAGACGTAAGGAGACGCGTCGACGGTTAGGAGGAGAAGAAAGTCAAAAGCGGTAGATGTGATGGGCCGTAGAGAGAGGAGAGGCGACGAAAACAGAGGCGAACGTTAGAGGGAGACACCCCGCACCGGGGGGCGGGGCGTCGTGGTCACGGTGGCAGCTGACCCACGCACGGCTTAGCAGTGTGCGCAAGACGGGAACTAATACTTCTCCGGAAACTTGTGTATCGGAAAGCGCAAGCAGTACGCTTCCCAAATCACCCGCAGGTCAGCAGGCAGCCGGCCACCAGGCGGCGCCCTCGGTTGAGACATCCTATCTGGCACCCTATACACAAACTCCTTCACCCGCGACACCCAGACAGTGGACGAGCACCACGGGATCGGAAGCACCCGGGCATCTCGATAAGGGCCCAACTCCGGACCCTCACAGGGCACGCCCCCAGCAGACGGGACTAGGCAATCCCCAGACCGGAGCAAGGAAGGAGGGGATACAGCAGGGGAGGCAGGCGCGGCACCGACCCCACCACCGGGCACAGGAGCCGAGGCCCCCTGGCGCACATCTTTCCGCAACAGCACGACAAGGTCACGATCATCAGGCACAACCCCCCACTGCGGAGATCCAACAGCAGGAGACGCAGGAGGTGAGGCACAGGTAGCAACTTCGGAGCCCCTCACAGCACCATCATCCTCGGCGGGAGGCGCCAGATCACCATACTCCCCCACCTCCTCCCAAGGCACACCACGAAGGGGAGAGCCCGCCGTGAACGCTTCGAGACAGGCCGCACCACACCACGCCCAGCAGGCCCCGCCGCAGGCACGGCCACCATCTTCACATCCACACAGGCCACACCCGCACCGTCCGAAGAGTCCACAGAGGCCACATCACCCACACTGTCCACATCATCCAGGGAAACAGCCTCAGAACACCGACGCGCGCGCTTCTGCAAAGGGATGGAAAGAGCAGAACTACAGTCACCAACACACACAGCCACGGCAGGCACCTCCCCCTGCCGAAGCACCCCCTCTAAAACAGCAGAACCCGCGTCCCCGGGAGCCGGTATCACATCCACAGGCGGGGGCGGGACATGGACCTCCACCGGGACATCCTGCACTACTCGCAGCTCAGGCGACGGCCCGACACCCACACACACCGGCTCAACAACCCCAGTGGCCACAGCAGTCATCAGACGTGTCGCACAGGCCGTAGAATTCGCCTCAACAGGCGGAGCAGCAGACAGGCAATCAGGCGCCTCAGGCACAGCACCTACTCCGTCCTCAGAACCGTCCGAACGTAACAAGGGCGGGAAATCCTCCGCACGAAAAACATGCACCCGACCAGTTGCTCCCACGTCGCACGCCGCAGCCAGATGACCCTCGTGACCACACCGATAACAGGTGCGCGGTTGACCCCGATACTGGCAGCGGAGCGTGTATCCCAACACGGACATCGACGACGGTACACTACACTTCAGCGACATTGTCAGGGTGCGAGAGCCGTCAAGCATACCAACACAGTGCCCGGCAACGACCTTGTTCCAACGAACACTTAACACTGTCCCAAATCTCTCAAAACAGGAGGTTAAAAAGTCGTCCTGAAATTCGAAGGGGGCACCATGCACCGCCACAGACGTCAAGGTGACACTAAGATTCACCACCTTAACTGAGCCAGCTGAATCAGGGAGAGGGTAAACACGCCCCTCACAACGCTCGAGAAACGCTTGAAAGGCAGCCTGGAGGCGGAACTTGACCACAGCACGGTGGCCCTGAAGCAGCTGGATGCCCACCAGGTCCGACAGCTGCACATGAAGCACGTCCACCAGGGCGACACCAACCAATGGATGGTCCACCGGCACCGTAAATGCCAGACCAGCCGACAATGTCCTCTGCACTGGAAGGCGAGACGACCCCATGGCTAAGGCAAACGTCACCCTGTCAGTGGCAAACCACCACCAGCAGGGCAAACCAGCAGTCACCCAACGTAAACACTAGCCAGTGCGGAGAGACCTCAGGAGCGTCCGACCTGGCCGGTGGTCACCACGCAACTCCGTGACACTTTTCTAAGACGCCTCAGGCTACCTGTCCCTAGGCAACACCTGACAACCGGACTGACTGTCCGCCGTCCGTCAGTCAATCATTGCCAGCGTTCACCACCGTAATAATTTATATATTCAACAAGGCATTAACTTATTTATTTATATTTTTATTTAGTCATCTAATTTTAGGACCAATTTGGACTTAGAACCAAGGACCAATTTTAAGACATTGGGGTGACTAGAAAACGTTGCATGCTGGGAGTAGTACTGCAGCGTCGGCAAAATGAGGTGATATTACAAGGATAACAGTCTTGCAACAAACTGGAAACTAAAGTGTCGTAAATGCAACATATAAGCGGATAAATTTGATAAAGTGCATCTAATAAAGTTCCAGAAAGAGCATTAAAAGCATCGATACACTAAGAAATAACGTGTCCAGAGGTCCATAATCTTATTCAGAGGTGAATTAGATTCGGGATGACTATACTGTAGATAAGGTAGAGAAACCCCGCGGGCTAAATTAAACGCTCTTGCAAATCAGCCGAACATGACTACTGCAGGTGGAGAAGGCAACACATGCCGAGTAATGTTAATGCGGTTAACCAATAATAAATATGGGCAATACTGCAGTTGAGTGGGCAGACCCACACTAAAGGCCACTGCTGGCGAATTAGGCCGAAACAAAATTTATGTATGTGAAGCTATGGATAAGTGTCGATAATTGATAAAGCCTGATTAATAAATTAGCAAAACGACAAGCACAGCGGATGTCAGCTGTCTAATACATAAGGGCGAGCTATTATGCTCACCATTAGCGGTAAATATTAAGGTAATAAGTGAAAGGGCATCCTTAAAATAACAGTACCGGAAAGCGAAGCGTAAATGTCACCAATGACGCCTGCATTAAATTACATAAATGAAGTTCCTAGATGAAACGCTATTAACTGCGGTAAGCAATTATCCTAAGATGGCTTTTTGTAAAGGTAGGAGGACGAACCAGGCAATCAAGCAAGCCGAAGAGAACTTGTTAAGGGGGGTTAGTTAATTTTTTTTTAAAGTTGTTCAATGTCAACCAATATTTTTTTGACTAGTTGTATATGAAAAGGGCTGCAATTGTTCCAAGTTTCAGTACTGCAGCCTAAATAGAAAGGGAGATCAAAAAATTTTGTATCGAATATTACACATTTTCAAGTGTTTATAAACAACCACACCTTTCAGATACAATCATTCTACGACACTTTTCTGTCACATTAGCATATAATAAAGGATCTGTAGGAAGGGATTTTCCAAAACGTCTTTAGTTTCCTAATGCAAATAGTCAAAGTTCCCCCAAAAAATTATGCATATACATCATGTTTATTGCTATTATAAAATCAATAAATGAACTTAGGAAGCAAATCTTGTGCCAGATTTTAGAGACACTATATATAAGGTGTAAGTTTCATGTAAATTGAATAAAAAATTTGAGTTATAAGAATTATGTTACTTTAAAATAAATAAGAAAATAATAAAGTCTAAGGTGCTGCCATCTGTGACCGAGGTTGACATCAACCAATTTCCTCTAAAATTGGCACCCTTACAGATAGGCTTACGTGCAGTCAGGTGTGCAAGTTTCATGCAAATCGTCCGATAAAGAAATATAAAATAAAATTTAAGAAAACAAATTTTTACTTAATTTTTTTTGTAATAAAACTAATTATATTTTTTTTAAATATGCTACTGTGATAGCTGAGCGTCGGACATGATTTCAGTTGGCATGTGTTTGATAATCGTTTTTGACCATTTTTGAAAAATTTTGACAATTTAATATTTTTTTCTCCCTTCCTATTTATGCTACGATGCTGAAACTTTGACCAGATGAAACCCTTTTCATATACAACACGTCAAAAAAGTTTGAAATCGAACCAGTTTTCATTTTTGGCATATTTGAATTTTAGGCCCCCTTAAATCTAAGAAAAAAAATGCATTAGTAGATAAATGAAAGTCGATTAACATTCAACAGTATGACAACGCGGGTATGGCAGGCTGTAACTAACGCTAAGCTGTGGATCAATGACAATTATTGTCAAGCCGAAGGTTAGATAAAGTACATAAGCAAGTAAATGTTAACATTGTTTGGCAGAATCTAGGATAAACATAAGGCAGGCAAAGATAAAAGGATAACCTTCGAGAAGTATGCTAAGGATGGACAGACACCAGTGGCTTGTAAAGCCGCAGTTTCTTCCGGGCTACACCGGGCAGACGAAAACGTCTGGATAAACCAGCGCCCTGTGAAGCCATGGTGTTTTCAGAGCTACCCGACCGACACACGGCCCGCTCAACCAAACGCAGGCCGATCGACCTGTCCCGATCTGTCGGATCCAACCACCGCCCTAGATGCAGAGGCTGGAACGGTGTGGAGTGGGGGTAAGGCAACTAGGGGCATGCACGCAAGGTGCATGAGCATGGGCAAGTACACATTACGCTGGGCACACGTACGTAAGCACACTGGGACCGGGGCCTAAACGGGGGGGAAGGGGGGTATAAGCGGATCACGTCAACCTAGTAAAAACTTTTACCTTGTGTGGCGGGCGTCGATCAGAGGTCTGTGCGGGCCGGCTTAATCGTCGTTTAAGCAGAGGTCTGGAATCCTGAATGAGCAATTGGACCTCTAAGGTACTTGGCGTCACAGACCACGTGTAACAGGTTGGCGGAGGTGCGTCGTTTTGGTTGAGGAGCGGGCCGCAGATGAGGTCGAGTAGAGGTCGTGACCTTCCCTGGTGTACTAGCTTAAGTACGCCCGCTCGCTGCGCGCGCAGCTTAGGCGCAACTCGTTAGTCAGACGTTTTCTAAACATATATTTCTTCATTTGTTCAGACGTTTTCTCCCCACAAATTTGATCACTTTTGGCAAGCAATTTCCATATAGAAATCAGTGAGAAAATGCACTAGGTATAGGTGGGGTTAAAACTTGGACTGGCTTCAGTAGGGGTTTCATGATTTCCAGTGATTACAGTAAAAAAGCGTTGCTCCAGTGGTAGAGTGTACGCGACTCAACAATGCAATGGTTGAAGGTTCGCAAGCCCTAGTGGATTTTCTCATTATTATTATTATTATTATTATTATTACCTTGAAGTAGCCATCGAGGGTGAAGGACCATGTGAGGTTGGGAGAGGCTACCACAACCACCACCATCACCACACACCACCACGCCCTCATTTGTTACTCGTCTTCAGTACCTCTGCTGATGCCGCAGTCTTCTAGCTGTAACTTAAAATTGTTATCATGTAACAATAATGTGAAATAATAACGGAAACATACATGAAGTGATGCTACAAATCAAGCTGTACACATTAATTTATTAAATAAAAAAAATTCTTTAACATTACAACACCGAACAGAGATAAATTAAAATTAATATCAAAGAATAGTTTCTGGTAAGAATAGGTTCTTACATTCCCGTAGAGCCACTAGCAAGCTTAGCGTTTCGGGCAGGTCCTTAATCCTAATTTTCCCCGGAATACGACCCGCCAAATCGTTTAACAATCAGGTACCCATTCACTGTTGGGTGAAAAGAGGCTACAGTTAAGGATTGGCGCCTTTCCACCCAAGAAGCAAATTAGAGATCAGCCCAAGCTTCGTCTTGAGGCAAAGCTCAACGCCTTAAGCCATATTGATGCTCTGTCCACAGAGCATTCTCTCTCTCAAATTATATACACTGATGGTTCCCTACACCGCACCACGGGTGCAGCTGGAAGTGCAGTTGTCCTGACAATGGGCGATGGCCTATACTTTGAGTGGGGAGTCCGTATAAACAACTGGGCCTCTACCCTTCAGACTGAACTATTTGCCTTGATCCTTGCACTGAAATGTGTACAAGTCTCAAAACTTGATACATTAATTGTAAGTGACTCCTTATCATCCTTAAATGCTCTCAACTCTTTAAGACATAACTGTAACATGCTCGTGTCCGAAGCTAGACACAAATACAACAAAATTATTAAGGATGGTAACGGAGTCCATTTCATGTGGTCTCCATCTCATGTTGGCCTCCGAATGCATGATAGAGCTGATAAGTTAGCCAAAGAATCTGCCTTTAAAGGAGCCGTTGAGTGTAACCTTGGATTGTCAATGAGCAATCTGAGAGCAGCAGTACACCGAGAACTTCAACAAGATCTTGTAGATCTGAGGCAAAGTGAAATTGACACCAGTAATTCCATCTATCATCATACTATCATGCAAGAGGAGCCACACATCTATGGATCATCCAATAAAATCAGCAGACTTCTAGATGTTACTACTGCTTGGCTTAGACTCGGTTACAAGTATCTCTGGGAATTCTCATTATCTGCTGATGTAGACCTGACCAAATGTAAACTGTGTCAACAAAATTATTCGCACACCCTCCGTCACTATGTGATGGAGTGCGAAAAGATACGTGAATTTAGAGACAATTCTATAACCAATGTTCCAGCGATGTGTCAATATTTCATTCAAAATGATCTGCTACCAGAAATTTTAGCCAAATATCCCCAGTTTGCTAACTGTAGGTAGTAACTAAGTGATTGTAACCTATCCACCGCTGCCCACTGGATGGGGGACGGTGTGCAGGACAAACATATAAATTTTGACACTAGCTCTCCACATATGTCAGTTGCTTAATTTAGAACCTGTACTTGAGGTCGATCTCGAACCCATTGTTGATGTGATGACTTATATTGAATTTTGTAACTAGCTCATCAAGATTGTAACTTGCTTAGCTAAATGAATTGTGGGGTTCAGTCCCTGAGCCCATTATGTGCCTCTGTAACCCTTTCCACTACCGCCCACAAGATGGGTATGGGGTGCATAATAAATGAACTAAACTAACTAACGCCTAGTCAATCCTCCCCGGCCTGGATAAGAACCCAGGCCAAAGCGCTTGCGAAGCACCTGACGAGTGTCTCTCCCCTGCGCAACGGAGACACTACATGTGATTGAAATAGAAAAATCAAAGAATTTAGAAGCAAATCCCAGTAAGAATTCCAAGTTTGCCTTCTGTAAAAGTTGCATATATTATCTGTAAGCTCACATCTCTAAAGTTAATTAAAAAAAGCGTTACGATAGATAAAATAATAGGTAATGGAGAAGAAAAGAAAGTGGTACTAAACAGAGTATAGGCGTGCCACAATTAAGGCTTTAGAGATTCGAATTTCTATGTATTTTAAAAGCCGAGATATTGTACACATACGTCTTTAGAATAAGTATTGTACTATACTGTATGTAAGAAAACGGAGTGTATACGAGAACTCAATTGTAAACGCTCTTCGCTAATTTTTGCATATATTTTTGTAATGGGGAAGGTAAGAGTCAATCATTGTAGATCAAAATTATGAACCTGTCCTGAGAGCAAATTCATTACCTTGAGCAACAAACTGCCTCATCAAACCACCTGGAGAATTGTCTAGATATTTGTCATGGTCTGAAAGCATATTATGGTTCCAGTAATGGTCTACTTGTAAATTGGCAACAGAACCTTTGACCTAAACATAGATTATTCATAAGTTATAATTTAATTGTATTCTAAGTCGTTTTGTTAAAGGTCGAATTGCTGACCCAGAATGCAACTCCACAACAAACTAACTCTTGGGTTAAGTTCGCTTTACTGCTAGGTTAACAGGGACGTTCGGTGACAGGAAATGGGCCCAATCATTTCTGTCTCGCCCGGGATTCGAACGATTGTGAATCGAGAACGAATCTGACTGTACGGTAGTACAGTTGGAGGATATTCATTCAAACCACTTCTTCAAAAGTTCAAATGTAACGCACACAATGGGTAACAGCTTCAAACTCAACATGCCACAATGTAAGACAGAACAGATGTGTAGCGAGTAGATTATGCTAATAATATACTGGCTCCAAACTCATTAGCTTAATGAGAGTAGCACAACTCTCATTAGCACCAATGATGGGTCACCCAGAGGGTTATAAACCCATGGAACCGCCTATACCAGCTGAAGTTGTAAATGCCCCCGTTCAATATTTTTAGATAAAATCCTTAGGAGCAAAGGGGGGTACTTCTGACAAGCCGCCGGCTTTCTATCCCCGTCGATACCATTATAATAGAGATAGTGGCCCAGGCCAAATTTAGTTTAAAAATCATTGATAATTGTGCATATTCGAAAGTGTTCTAGCTCTTGATCACAGAGTTTACAATTGGAGCTAAGTGTTCACTGTTGCAATACTTATTGCCTAGACTACGCAATAGATATTTAATGTGTTCATATATGAAAGTGGATGGCAGCGCTTCATCAAACGTCACTAAGTACTGAAGGTTTTCCGTTGTCGGGGGCAGGAGGCCTGTTAGGCTTATCGAGAGTCCTCTACAGCCAAAGGCGAATCTGTCCTTGAGGTTCCCGCAGTACTTACTGGCCAAATTCATCAGTGATTAACCAGCTGATCGAGTGACAATCAGGACTTTCGTTGTATATTCACATCATTGGTTCTGCCCAGTTAACACAGGTCAGCTAAAAAACGCCAATTCTTAGGTCGATTTGTATTGGTATTTATTATTAATTAATTACAAACGGGTAAAAGTTATGAACAGGTAAAGCAGGTAAAACTATAATTTAAAGACTTACCTCGCTTGTTAAAATTAGTCACTTTAGGAGTTCCGTGAACTGCAGAGAGGCTGACTTTACTGAGAGCCAAATAATAATGCAGAAGGTTTATACACAGGACCTGTAAATTAACACTTTTCGAACTTTCCTTCGAAATTCATTACTCGGGAGTTGTAAACATTACTCAACATAATACCAAGAATGAGAGATTTAATTGCATTTAATTTGTGAACCGTTGAATAAAGTTTCATTAATACTGTTCATAACTTTTAAAAGCGAGAAAAGAATCAATGTAGTAAGCTATTTCTGGGTATGAGATGAGGAGGAGGGCGAGAGCACATATCCTCACACGGGCGCTCCACAGTTTAACTGAGGACAGTGTCGGCGCGCAGGGTTGCCAGATCCAAATTGCTGAAAGTAGCGAGCTGACGATCAAAAAGTTGCGAATTTATAATAAGAGTAGCCCAATTTTTTGTTTAGTGATTGATACGGGTTTCAAAGTAATATATTTTGATATATAGAGTACACTACACGATGTTAATTGTTTTATTAATATTTCTGCACACACACACACAGGTCCAATTAGGTGAGTACACACACACACACATATATATATATTTATATATATATATATATATATATATATATATATATATATATATATATATATATATATATATATATATATATATATATATATATATATATATATATATGTCGTACCTAGTAGCCAGAACGCACTTCTCAGCCTACTATGCAAGTCCCGATTTGCCTAATAAGCCAAGTTTTCATGAATTAATGTTTTTACGACTACCTAACCTACCTAACCTAACCTAACCTACCTTTTTCGGCTACCTAACCTAACCTAACCTATAAAGATAGGATAGGTTAGGTTAGGTAGGGTTGGTTAGGTTCGGTCATATATCTACGTTAATTTCAACTCCAATAAAAAAAATTGACCTCATACATAATAAAATGGGTAGCTTTATCATTTCATAAGAAAAAAATTAGAGAAAATATATAAATTCATGAAAACTTGGCTTATTAGGCAAATCAGGCCTTGCATAGTAGGCTCAGAAGTGCGTTCTGGCTACTAAGTACGACATATATATATATATATATATATATATATATATATATATATATATATGTCGTACCTAATAGCCAGAACGCACTTCTCAGCCTACTATGCAAGGCCAAATTTGCCTAATAAGCCAAGTTTTCCTGAATTAATATATTTTCTCTAATTTTTTTCTTAAGAAATGATAAAGCTACCCATTTCATTATGTATGAGGTCAATTTTTTTTTATTTGAGTTAAAATTAACGTAGATATATGACCGAACCTAACCAACCCTACCTAACCTAACCTAACCTATCTCTATAGGTTAGGTTAGGTTAGGTAGCCGAAAAAGTTAGGTTAGGTTAGGTTAGGTAGGTTAGGTAGTCGAAAAACAATTAATTCATGAAAACTTGGCTTATTAGGCAAATTTGGCCTTGCATAGTAGGCTGAGAAGTGCGTTCTGGCTATTAGGTACGACATATATATATATATATATATATATATATATATATATATGTCGTACCTAGTAGCCAGAACGCACTTGTCAGCCTACTATGCAAGACCCGATTTGCCTAATAAGCCAAGTTTTCCTGAATTGATATATTTTCTCTAATTTTTTTCTTATGAAATGATAAAGCTACCCATTTGATTATGTATGAGGTCAATTTTTTTTTTATTGGAGTTAAAATTAACGTAGATATATGACCGAACCTAACCAACCCTACCTAACCTAACCTAACCTATTTTTATAGGTTAGGTTAGGTTAGGTAGCCGAAAAAGTTAGGTTAGGTTAGGTTAGGTAGGTTAGGTAGTCGAAAAACAATTAATTCATGAAAACTTGGCTTATTAGGCAAATCGGGCCTTGCATAGTAGGCTGAGAAGTGCGTTCTGGCTACTAGGTACGACATATATATATATATATATATATATATATATATATATATATATATATATATATATATATATAACCTAAAAGGGGTACCACCTCTGGTGCAAGTGTAGGGACCCATAGCCTCGGAGAAGAAAATAAAGAGTACCCAGAGAAGACCTTGTGGATCCTCACTGAACACTGATATTTTCTCCTCCTACCAACCCTATTCTTTTAGTATGTGTGTATATATATCTAACTTTATTTTAAAATTTCATTACATAAAGAGGGTAATGCACAATCTGAAGCCCAAGTGACACCCCGCAGCCCGACCAGTTGTGTAACCAGAGCCCGACCAGTTGTGTAACCGGAGCCCGACCAGTTGTGTAACCGGAGCCCGACCAGTTGTGTAACCGGAGCCCGACCAGTTGTGTAACCAAAGCTCGACCAGTTGTGTAACTGTAAGCCTAGCAAGTATACCTCTCATCCAACCCCCACAAAGCTAAACAGTCCCAGAGCACAACCAAACTCCATTCCTAGCTCGAACCAAACAAAAATCTTCTTAGCCCTACCTAAAATACTTGCCCTAGACACCAACTATTGAGCCATAGCAAACAATTGAACTATATACAAAAAAAAGAAGCCCGGATTTCTAGCAAACATATAAACAGAGCCTTAGCAAACAAACCTGGAGCATTTGTACACAAACAACCGCTGGAGCGCAACCATGTACGAACCGGAGCACAACCATGCACAACCCAAAGCGTAACAAATCACACCCCCAGAGTTATGTGACCGGAGCCCGACCAGTTGTGCAACCGGAGCCCGACCAGTTGTGCAACCGGAGCCCGACCAGTTGCGCAACCGGAGCCTCACCAGTTGTGTAAGCGCAAGCCTAGTCAGTTGTGTAACTGAAACCCGATCAGTTGTGTAACCGGAGCCAGACCAGTTGTGTAACCGCACGCCTAGGTCTACTTAGACTGTAGCTGGTGCACCCCCACACATGAATTATTGCATCCAGGCATGGAGACCTCATCTTCAGAAAGACATAGCTGCTCTGGAGCCATGTTTTACCAGAGCTATGGAGCTATGTTTTACGACAAAAATCATACCAGAGCTTAGCCATCTGTTGTATCAGGAAAGGTTGAGGGCCACAGGGCTAACAACATTGCAAACCATGCATGACAGGGCGGACTTCATAGAAACCTTTAAAATACTAAACAATTTGGAGGATGTCGATCAGGACAATGTCTTCAAAAGGTCATTTGTTACACGAACAAGAAGCAACGGGTTCAAACTCAACAAGCCAGAATGTTGGAAAGGAAACAGGAGATGTTTTTTCACCCATAGGGTTGTAAACCAGTGGAACCGCCTGCCCGCCGAAGCCGTAAATGCCAAACCTCTGCTGGGTTTTAAAATACAGCTGGAAAAGATCATCAGGTCAAATGGGGGGACCTTTGACAAACCGGCAGCTTACTGCCCTCATCGAGGCCACTTGTGTTAGTAGCCCTCAGGTAAATTCAGTTCCAGGAGGGGTGTCCCCGCTCCTTCCTGTTGGGAAATTGTTCATCTATTGTAGTATCATACTATCATGCAAGAGGAGCCACACATCTATGGATCATCCAATAAAATCAGCAGACTTCTAGATGTTACTACTGCTCGGCTTAGACTCGGTTACAAGTATCTCTGGGAATTTTCATTATATGCTGATGTAGACCTGACCAAATGTAAACTGTGTCAACAAAATTATTCGCACACCCTCCGTCACTATGTGATGGAGTGCGAAAAGATACGTGAATTTAGAGGCAATTTTATAACCAATGTTCCAGCGATGTGTAAATATTTCATTCAAAATGATCTACCAGAAATTTTAGCCAAATATCCCCAGTTTGCAAACTGTAGGTAGTAACTGAGTGATTGTAACCTATATCCACCGCTGCCCACTGGATGGGGGGCGGTGTGCAGGACAAACATATCAATTGTGACACTAGCTCTCCACATATGTCAGTTGCTTAACTTAGAAACTGTATTTGTGGTCGATCTCGAACCCATTGTTGATGTGACGACTTACACTGAATTTTGTAACTAGCTCATCAAGATTGTAACTTGCTTAGCTAAATGAATTGCGGGGTTCAGTCCCTGAGCCCATTATGTGCCTCTGTAACCCTTTCCACTACCGCCCACAACATGGGTATGGGGTGCATAATAAATGAACTAAACTAAACTATTGCAGTATTTATACATGGGACTGTCGCTTGTCACTAAACTTAGTTGTTAACTATTAACTTGATGAAATAATATTACTTTATACGCGAGAATAATTCTGAATACAAAGCGATAAAATATATGAATACGGCAATAATTGGGTGGCCACGTAGGCGAGCCTGGCCTGAGGACAGGCAACTGTAAATGCTTCACCCTCCACATACTTCAAGTGAAAATAATTGCCAACAGAACCTAAATACCGAACCTACTATACGCCTAATTAATTATAGAATATAAAATTAATTTATACTCGATAAAAACTATTTTTAATACACAGTACATGAAAGTCGATAATAAATGCGTCTTGGGATGTGGGGGAGACGACCGCCGCGTTAACGAGCCTAGCCTGACGACGGGGTGGTTTAACAATGGGGAAGTGTATTCTACATAATATCCTACCCATATAATGTTGGCAAATCATGATCCTCAAAATCTTCCACAATATCCGAGAGAGGACAGGCTATTTAATTTAGCATTAGTGGAATACAATCATTTGAATACTACAGAACCCAGATGAAAAAAAAATACGGACTCGGAGACATTACAAAACTCAATGTTATAATAGCGAACAAATGTATAATGCATTAAGCATTGTAGGTGGAGCACTATATATTAATGCGTACCTCCCAACTGCTCAGATATATTTGCAAAAAAAAAAAAAAAATCTTATCAGTCTTACCTACACGGGAACGACGCACCACACGCCGCCGCTGCTTCTTGACGACTGGCGGGGTCGTAATCGATGACCCGGTCACCCGTAAGCGACCAACTGACCCAGAGACCCTCTGCCTAAAATAATTTGAACACCATATTGAAATTCCTAGCGTATAGCGCCAGGAATGTATAGATTAATATTCATATGTATTATAGGCCTTTCTAAAGTAATTTATAGATCTGAATATCATACATTGTCTAACAAACGAATTATTTAAGTTAAGATTTTAATTATGCCAAATACAAGTCTCATCGCACACAAGAAGATTCGTCGGCGTATATATATATATATATATATATATATATATATATATATATATATATATATATATATATATATATATATATATATATATATATATATATATATATATATATATATATATATATATATATATATATATATATATATATATATATATATATATATATTAATCATTATTAAAAAGACATCATT